CACAGCACCAGGCATCACAGCACCAGGCATCGCAGACCTTCCCTGGCCGTGCTGCCGTTAGACGCTAAAGGGACATTCCCATGTGCCAAAGAACCCCAAACCCCTTCTCACCCCATCCTGTTCCCCCCAGTGCCCTCTCTCCCATCCCTCAGCCTGGCCCTGCCAGCATGTCTGGGGACATGCCCCAGCCTCCCACCAAAGCCCCCAGCCGCCCTCTGCACTGGCACGGCTGCCCTCCCAGAAATAATCCTACCAATAGCTCTGACACGTAGGGGATGGGGGTGTCCCCAGCTCCAGCGGGTGGGAGACCCTCCTGTATAGCACATCTATCTGCGGGGGGAGGTCAGCTGGGGGCTCAAGTGGCTGGCAAGCCTACAGAGCTGGGCTTTCTCTTTTCCCCTCCAGAAAAAAAAAAAAAAGACCCGTGAGCTCAGCGTTAAGGAGGTAAGAGCAGGCACAGAGATAATCACAGAAGTCTTTCCACTTGCCTCCTGCTGCTGAGCATCACTTAGGACATCGCCTTTTCTGACCCGCATCCCATTGCAGTAGGGAGGGGAGAAACTTCTTGGCTGGCTGGAAGCAGAGGCGGGGTTGTCAGGACACCAAAGTCTGCAGTTTGGGCCCCAAAAATACCTTCCCCTCACTTTGGAACAAGGAGACTCCCTCTCTGCAACAACTCAGTCTGTGCCACCTCTTTTCCACCTGCGCCCCCTCTCCCCATTCCACACGTGCACACCCCTCTTTCCATCGCGCCCCTTCCCAGGGGTACGTGTGGAGGACGGCTAATGTCCCTCGCCGCCCTGGAACGAGCCACCCCCCACGCTGCCCTGCGTGCAAATGGGCCCTCACAGAAGCGCCTTTGTGCCGCGGTGTGGAGCCGAGATGCTCAGGGGCTGAGGTCACTGGAGGGACCCTCACAGGACCCGCCTTGTTCTCTGTGACAGGAGGGGGTGTGCGGTGGGGGGAGGTGTTGGGCCATGGCTGCAGGGCTCTGCTCCCACGCAGCTCACCCGCCACCCAGCTGCTTCTGGCAGGGAGCTCTTCAGAGCAGAATAAAGAGGCTCCAGCATGCATGCGTGTTGTACGTGGGAGTGCCGCTCGCGGTCAGGCCATTGAGATTACGGGCAAGCCCATCTCCCCCAGCCTCCCCAGGCGGCAGCAGCAAGCCGGGGCAGGCAGCAGCTTCAAGGAGTCCCCAGCTCTGGCCACTGGCACCCAGCAGGATCAGCCTTTGCCACCCCTGCTCCCTCCGAGACGGGGACCCTGGCTCTCAGGAAGAGGTCCCCCCATCCTCTGCTTCCCAGACCGTAACACAAGCTCCAGACCAAAGATCCACATCTGTGGAATACCCTTTCTGCCTCCACTCTGTATCCCATGCACTTATTATTGTCCTTATTAAAGCAGTTTTGATACTAACTTCTCCTCTGGTGCCTCCCCTCAGCTGCAGCGACCTTACCATATTCCTTGCTATGTCTGCCAGTGCCCCAGCCGCAGAATCCCATCCTCTCTCAGGAGGATATTCCAGCACCCCTGGGATCCCTGGATTAACTAGCCCAGTGCTTTGCTGCTCACTGTGGCTAACACACAAAGCAACCTCCTATCCACCCGGCCCTGCATAGCACACAGGAGAGTGCAAAGCTTCCTCTCCAGCCCGGCAACAATTCATTTGCAGCCTGAAGCAGATCAGTACCCTTCCCAAAGCTGGTTTGACCAGAGCCTTTCCAGCCCATCAGACATCCTCTGCCTGTGCGCCCAAGCAGCAGCAAGTCCCTTGGGTTGGGAAGCGAGGAAGCAGAGACGGAGGGCAGGGTTCCTGCCACCTTGCCTTGGACTGGACTCTCTGTAAGATGCTCTTCTCTGCTCTCCTCCCACCCAGCCTAAAGTGCCCCTGTGTTTGCTGTCAGACATCGGTCTCACTTAAGGCTGGCAAGACACTTTTTAATTAGAGCAGCAGCATCTTATAATCAGCACTAATTCCCTGTCATCCCATGTGAAGGGTACAGAAGGGGAGGTGCTGAGCCACGTAACCCAGCCCAAACCCTGTCCCCCCTCCCACTGCCTTCCCCTGCCTCACTTTTGCTGAATAGGGTTCCGTGTGGAAACGTCAGAGTAATGGATAACCCAGCTGGAATGTGCCAGCAAGTAAGTGAAGTGAGATAAGGGGGAAAGTTGGAGGAGACAATCTGGCTTGGGGGCACATGTGTGCTGCCTTCCCGTGCCACCACTTTGCGTGGTACCGCTCCTGCGGGAGGGCAAGGTACCTCTTCCTCCTGCCCGCTGGCTGAGATAGCTGCCAAGAGGAACCCATCAAACCCATGCCCTGAGGTTCCCAAGCCTAACATTTAATTATGTGCTTTTGTGGCACCAAATGCCACATCGAATGCCACATCTCTCGTGTCAACACTTTTCTTCCCCTTCCTCCCTCCCTCCCTTCTTCCCTCCCAAAAACTCAGGTGCAGGAAGAAATGGTGCATTGTGAAGAGATTACACAACCATTCCCTGAGCAACTACATAGTGTGCTCCTCCTCCTGAACCCCACCTACAGCCTGCTTTGCCCTACGTACTATCTGTTCAACCCCACATCCTGGTCTGACCTGGAAAAGCACCTGGCGTTATCTGGAAAAGCACCTGGTGTTATCTGGGAGCTATTTCCATCTAACAAGGGCTCCTTTCCTGTTGGTGGAAAAACCCTGGGCTTTGTCAGTGTCTCACACAGAGCCACAGAGACAGAGATGTCACAGAAGCCAAAGCAGCTGGAGCAAGTAGTCTCCCACTGCTTGGGTTTTTATTAGAGAGAGGAAGCAACGCCCATCAGTTCAGCTTGAAGGAGGTGACCCTGAAGCCTCCGTGGACACTCATGTACCTGATCTTGTCGTAGCCATGCCGGTTGGGGAACTCCATTAGATGCCCATCTGGTAGTCTCACTTGGAATTTGTCTGCCAGCATTTCAATGAAGAACTGGGAGAAGAGAGGGGAGGAAGGGCAGGAATTGGGGACAAGAAGACTAAGAGGTGAGCATCCAGGTGATATACCTGACTGTTACACATAAAGGTCAGACCTGGTCCCTACAGCCTTAAGTAAGGTGCTGGGAGTTGAGCTGAGGGTGATGCAGGAAATGAGCAGTTGGTATCAAGGGTCTGAGCTGGTATCTAGACTATGACCTGGGGACAGGATGATTCCTGGGGCTGTTTCAGCTACTCAGATTGTAAATTCAGAGCAGTTAAACCCAAACGTGTCTTTATACACCACATGGCTTAGATCTGCTCTGAACAGGGCAGAATAAACCTGACACCCCAATGCCCTCAGCAGCTCACCAGGACCTGGGAAAAGGAACTTCGCTGATGAACACACACAAGCAGACAGGACAAGAACACATTGCTGATTATTGCAAATTAAAGGGATCATTTCCCAAAGCTGTCACCTTGCTACCCCTTCCCCAAAGAGCAAGCCATGACTGCGGAAACAAGCTTCCTCTCCACAGCAATAGGAACAGGACTGCTCCTAAATGTAGCTCTATCAACATCTTGGGACATCAGATGGGGTGAGACAGCAACTAGGACAGTATCCCCAGCAGGAGGAGAGGACAGTTTGGCAGCATGGATCTAGGAGTAGTGAGGACAGAAAAGCTCAGGGAGATGTTTTTGGACATTGCTCCCAAACTCTTGGTTGCCTTAAAGCCTGTGTTTGCATAGGAGGGAATTAGGGAGGGAAATAAGGCAGACAGCAGCAAGGTCCCACTTCTTGGAGACCCCCTTTACCTTCATACATGCCCCTGGTGCATGTATGCTGGGCAGGTGTCGGGGTCAGGAAACACTTACAAAGCCTGAGACAAACAGGGCTCACACAAAGGTCCCAGAGGAAGCATTGGAGTTTTGAAGGAGGAGTGGAAATGGCCATCAGGACCAAAAACCCAGAGGATGAGTGGCTGTTGGGAGGGAGCAGGAGGTTTTGGATGGGACTGGGAGGACTACAGTATGGGAATCTGCTAACCAGGGCCCTCCCCCAACACACACACCCCCCCACAACCCCATGCCGGCACAGACCCCTCACCTTGCTAGTGGAGCCCTTGGAGAAACAGATGTGGTTATCACGATGCTCTTCCTGCCAGGCATCGGAGCACCTGGAGTTGCAGACGATGACAGCCTCATCGAAGCGGGGACTGAAGTGAAATGCCAGATCCGAGGAGCTGGAGCCAAGATTGATGCTGAAGCTGTGGGTGAACAGGATGGTCAGATGCACGGGCAGGGCAGGGCAGGGTCTTTGAAGACCCGAGATCCAATACACGGCTCTGCACCCAATTCCTCCATCAGCACTGCAGGTGCTTAATGCCTCCCGTTTCCTCATTCTGCTCAGGAACCCAGGGAGTTTGCACAATGGTGGTGTAGGGGCTCCCCTAACACTGAGCTATGCTTTTTGTATGCTTTTTGTACCTGGCAACCTTGGAAAACGACCTTGCTCAGCAGCCCACCTTCAGTCCTGGAAAGCCAAGGTGGTTTCTTTGTACTTACCTGTCCTCATCATTGGCTATCTGGCCCTTGATCTTCAGTGTGTCCCCAGCCTTCATATCCAAATTGACGATTTCAAATTTTTCCTAAGGCAGAGAGAAAAATAGTCTGCGGGGCTCCTTCAACCATTCCTCCCCTACCACCACAAGTGAGAGGGTGCTGTTTGGAGAAGGTGCCCCAGCCAGGAGAACATCTACTGCTCTCCACTGGTGTTCCTCTCATGGCCAAAATCCCTCCATGTTGGAGGTCTTGCATGGGCTTCTCACTCAGTGAGGGAAGAGTGGGCTGAGTGAAGCCAGCAAGCGAGAAAAGACATGAGAGAGAGTAGAGATGAAAACAGGCTTGTCCCCAGCAGAAGGAAAGGAAAGCATGACAGCAGAGGTACAAAGAGGGTTAAAGCAGAGGGGCGCAACCCAGGGTTTGGTGGGCAGCATCATCTGCACCCCAAGAAATGCAAGTGGTGAGAGCGGAGGTGGCCATGGCTTGCCGGTCCCTTGCTGAGCTGGGGACCCTGGGTGACAGAGGACAGGAGCAGCAGCCCTTACAGACATCTTCCTCAGAGGGCAGAGTAACCAGGCAGAGAGCCACCAGCAGCTGAGCTCAGAAATGCTCGCACGGAGGACCTTACATCCCTTGACTTCCTTGTGGCTTACACATTAACAGCACTCCCGCCTCTGCAAAGCCCCACCAACTGCTATTAAGCCAGGAGACTTTGATCCAGAGAAATAGCTTCCCTATGTACACTTCCTCTCATTACAGACTTTCAGGCAATTTAATCAATTCCCAGCTTCCTCGGTGGGCTCCCAGTGGAGGGACCATCACACACAGCCCTTAGGGGTGCTACTCCAGCCACCACGCAGGACAAGCCTCTTCCCAGCTGGCCATGGAGGTGTGACCACTGTGTTCACTTTTTTCTGTGCGTAACAGCTCAGCCAGAAGAAGCATTCCAGCTCCTTCCTTTTGTGGCAGGGGGCAGCTCCCAAAATCCACACCAGCACACCAAAATAGTCCCCACCATCCCTCCCCACGGTGCTCTGAGGAAGGGCTCCAAGGGGCTCGGAGGAGCTACAAACAGTCCTTTGCAGGAGTGACATGAGTGACATCCCAGCTCCTTCCCTTCTCGTGGCTCTAGATTCAGCCCCAGCTGTGTGAATTGCACTAGCAATATGTGGGAGCTCTCTGCAACCTCCCATCCAAGCTCCATTGAGACCCAAACCTTTTAGCCATGCACATCAGGTTCAATAGCCCCATCCTCCATAACCCTGAGACATGGGAATGTTGTCCTCACAGGGGAGTGTCACCCCTGTTTTCTCCTTCCCAGGTAAGAGCTACGAGTCAGTAGACAGTGACCCAGATTTGGTTGAACAAATTGGTGGTGTTTTGCCAGACTCCAGAAGTCAGTAGGAAAGCAAGAGGGCTGAAGAGGCCAAGTCTCAGGAGACCAGCAGTCCCTCAGCCCCCTCTCCCAAGCCCTGCAGAGAACAGCTGCATGTAGTCATCCTGCTGCTGCACAGCCAGCTGGGAGACAGCTTCTGCCCTTCCCCAAAACCTCCTGAAGCAAGCAAAGGTAAGTGCTGATAAGCACTCATTCTCTAGAGGTGTTTCCTATTATCAGAGGGCCATAAAGCCCAGCAGGCTTGGGAAATTTGTTTGCTCTTGAGGTCACTGAGGCTGTTGGTGAAACCTCCCCAGGCTGAGCGTGGAGCCAGTGGGAGCAGGTGCTGGGGATGGTGGTTTCTGGCATTGGGTCTGTTTCCCATCATGCTGCTGTGTCCTACCTGAACACACCTTCATGTCACCCTGCTCCCCCACAGCCATCCCAGGGAGAACACATTGCCCAGAGCCCTCGTCTCAACATATCGGAGCATCCCATGAGAGGTTTCACTTTTCAGGAACTCACGTTGTCCCTTTGCAGGGACAAAGGCAGTACAAAGACACTGTTTGCACAGCCACCATCAGGGTTAGTTATCTGAACTCACTTCAAGCCAGCAGGGAGAAACAAACACTTCTAGGGCTCAAGACATTACATCCCAAGACAGACCCTAAACTTGGTCAGAAAAATCCTGTCCTATGTGGCTGGCCAAAGTGACACAGGAATGCTGTGGCAGAGACAAGACCCAGGTCCTGGGCCAGCAACGTAGAGGAGCCTTCCCCCACTTCCCACACAAACCAGACAGAAACATTACCCTCACTGGGATTTACCCACCGACCCCACTGGCAGAGCATGAGGCTGCCCAGGAGGGAGAGCAGCATGTGTCTGAGGGATGGGGAAAACTACCCACACGGAGAGTTATGTGCAGAGCTGCAAGTACCACGGATGTGAGAATACGCAGGGAGGGAGACAGGCAGGAAAAAGGAATGAGCTGCTCAGAGAGGGGCCATGAGATTTTATCAAGATAACATTAACCCCCCTCCTACAATGCTCAGCAGGGGCGTTCACCCCCCTTTTATTTGCCACTGGGAACAATAGTGGGAAACCAGGCAGCAACTCTGCCAGCGCTGGCGACTTCCTTCGTCTGCAGAGCTGAGCCTCCGCATGGTCAGACACCAGCCCTGGGCAGATGGCCTCTCTCATGCAGGGATATGTGCTCCCCACACAGGAAGGGGCTGAGCCTTTAGGGACCCCAGAAGAGATGAAATTCTCCAGTGCAATTGGAGGTGGCGATTGGGGTGATGAAAGGAGGGTGAAAGGGGGAGGTTGGTACTTCCTGCAGACACTGCAAAGCAGAAAGCCTGGGGAAACGGTGATATGATGGGAACGTAAATCCCAAAGAAAGAGGAAAATCAGCTAAAGGGCATCTGCAAAGGGGGAGGGTCTGTGCAGTGAGGAAAATACAAGCAATGGCTGTAGAAGCTGACAGCCACCAGTGCAAGGGTTCCAGGAACCCTTCACCCCCAGAGAGATGATCCTATAATAGGGTACCTGCCTGGGAGTGCCTCTCCAGGGCCCCGTACAGATTTTCATCCTGGCCAGAGGGCAGTTGATCTGTACTGGTGTGGGACACCCATGTTCACCCTGCTGGCACCAGAGGAGGCTTTGCTGCATTCCCAGAGGGTGCCTTGGAACAGCAGAGACCCAACAAGCAGTCACTGGCGCAAGGGTGGGGGCCATGCCTGACTGGAGGGCAAGGTGAGCTTCCAACAGGGAGCAGGCAGGCCTGCAATTTTGCATAGAGAAAACAAAAAAAAAAAAGCTATTTTAAGGAGGGAAGAGACCACTGCAACAACATCGGCTTTCAGCCAGAAGGGTGGCAAGGAAGGTCCTCTGCAGAATGCTTTCACCCCATGAAATGTGGCAGCTCCATTTGCAGAGGTCCCGTAAGGTAGGTTTTGGGGTTAACAGTCCTTCCCAGCCTTCCTGCTAGTCCTGGGGAGATCTCAGGCCACCAGGAGCACCCATGGGATCTCAGGGCCCTCGGGGTGGCTTCAGACAGCAGGACCTCATGTACCATAGCCTAGAGCTGCCGCCGCTACCACAGGGTACCCGCACAGCTGTTGAGAACAGACTGAATGCCACCCTCCCCAGCAGGCTGCCAAGATCCTCAGCAGCATCATTGCTGGCAGCAGTATTTATTTTGTTTTCTTACTCGAGCAGGAGATAAGCCAGCTAGGTGTGAAGCCCTGAGGAAAACCACAGGCTTCCCCACTTCTCAGCCAAGGTACCCCAACCACCCTAGCTGTGAGAGGTTTCTCAGGGCCTTTTGTGGCAGGGGGCAGCCCCTGAAATCCACACCAGCACTGCAAAATGGTCCCCACCATTCCTCCCAATGGTGCTCTGAGCCAACATGTCCTCTCTAGATGACATGAGCTATAGTCCCTCGCAAGAGTGACATGGGTCTTCGCCAGACGTGATGCTCAGCCCAGAAAGGAAAAGGGAGAGAGGGGAAGGTGAGGTGGCCATGCTGGCTTCAGGAATGCTTCAAACCAAGCCCTGTGAGAAGAGGCAAGAGATCCCCTTAGCACCCTAATGGAAGGCTGTGGTTTCAGCTTGGCGCTAATTAGTGGCACCAGAGGAGGACACTGTGGGAAGAAAAAAAGGTGCCTGTCCCATTTTGCACTCAAGGCATCAGGGAGCCTGTGCCGTGGACCAGGCATCGGCGTCCACTCAAGGCAAAGGGAGCTGGAGAGAAACCGTGCATTCTTTCTCGGAGTAGCAGCTGCTCACTCTGCTATTATTTCCTACCGCTTCATATAATTTGTACTCCACAGCAAGCTATTGTCCCTTTCCACTGGCTATTTATTTCCTTGAATAGCCTCTGGGGAAGGATTTCAGTGCGGGAGTAAAGAAAAAAGAAAAACTCCACACAATAAATATCGAGCAGTGACCTGATTTAAACCGTGTTCTCTGACCTCATCTGGGCCCTGGTTGCGGTTCCTCCCGCCAGTTGTGATTAAGCCACGTTTCTGACTTGGTTTCCCCTCCTTATGAAGCCTAGCGGGGAATGCTCCCTGGCTTAGAGGGCTGTGGGGTGGATTTCAAGAAGCTGAGCTCTGGATTTTCAGTGGCCAGGGCTCAGGACAGGACCAGGAAGAGGCTTCCATCACCTCCTGATGGAGCTGCTCAGTCCCCCTCCTGCCAGTCACAAAAATTCCCAGATAGGTTTGACGGGACCAGTTTCCCCTTTAGTCAAGAGGTGTTGATTTGCCTCTCAGCAGATAGTGCTGCCACCTTCACCTGACCGATCCCTAAGCTCTGAAAGCCAGCCAGCTTCCTAACAGAGGAGGACCAAAAGAACAAAAAGTACTTACCTCAGCCAAACACAGAGGTAAGCAGGAGACTGGATAAGCAGGTCTGTGGATTTGGAGGGTGTGAACAGGAGAGGATTGTCCAGAAGATGCAGGAGAAGCTAAGGCAATGATGAGCACAAGGAAACTGGTGCCCATAAGCACTAACCTCCTGCCTGAGAGGATAACCAGAGCAGGATGGCTCCTCTAGGGAAGGCATTGAAGTCTCCACCTTTGGATCAACTAAAATGGGAAGGAACAAAGGACTGGAGGTGAATCTCCTGCCACATCTCATGCCCCAGCTCCCTGACAGTGCATCATCCAGAGCCCCCATGGGAAGTATGGAAGTAGCATCCATGCT